TATTTTGTTATTCCATTATAATCAATAAAAAAATTCGAATTATGAATTATATGAGATGATATGTTTATGTTTAAAAAATCTGCGCACAAATTTGTTGTCATTCTAATGATAATTATATTTGTCGATGATAATATATGTGCCCGTACACATTAACACTTATAGATTTTAATGAGAGAAAAAGAAGAATGATAAACAACATTAGTACTGATTTAATTGTGAATAATTTTTAAACCTGTTGAATTTTTGTTTGTTTTTTTTTTAGGATCAATTCTAAAATTTATACTTTTTCAATTAATTAAAAATTTTAATTCGTTGTTGGATTAAATGTGATAGGATATGATAGGATGATATTATGAAAGATTGATATATTACGAAGAATAAAGTTTGATATCATTACTTTTATTCATACTATTAAATTTCTTACATTTTTAAATTATAAATTTTTGAATTTCTTCTTTTTCACTCTCTCTCTCTCTCTCTCTTTTCTCTCTTACCTTATCTCATCAAATAAATTGTATTTCAATCATTTTGAATAGACCGTTTCTCTTTTTTTCTCTCCTTTTCTCTCTCTCTCCTTCTCTCTTTTCTCTTCTTCCTCATCTCATCAAACAAATTATATTTTAATCATTTCGAATAGATCGTTTCTCTTTTTTCTCCTTTTCACTCACTCACTCACTCTCTCTCCCTCTCTGTTTCTCTTTCTCTCTCATTTAAATAAGCTATCATTTTAGTAGTAAACAAAAATTAAACAAAATAAATGAATGATTTAAATTTTGATCATTTTGTAGGAAATAATTGACAGATATGATTCTTTTACAAGAAATATTTTATAATAATTTTAAAAAGAACTTTTTTAATTTTTTTTAAAAAAGTAAAATTTTTATTTAAAACAAAACAAAATTTTTTTTCAATTAATTTTTTACTTTTATTAAAAAATTTTTGAATAGCATTGTAATCATTGAGAAATAACAAAAGAAATAATTAGCTTAATTACACTGAATTTGTTTGCTTAGTTTCATTTCTTCAAAGTATTACAAAAAGTATAGCTGTAAAGTATCATCGATTTAAATTAAATAATATCTCATTTTTATTAAAATGATATAATTGAATGAATTTACTTCGTACTTCAGAAGTTGAATATACTAAAATTGAATTGAACTATTTAGCGTTATTTCTGATAAATTTAAATCTTCAAAAAATATATATATCATAACATTTTGTAAAATTAAATTTATTGATTTTCAAGAAACAAAAAAAGAAATGAAATTGTTAAAAACATTTTGGTAACATTTCTTTCCTTTTGAATTGCTTATGAAATTTTGCGAAATGTTTTAAAATATGAAAATGAAAGCTTTCTTTTTTGTTTTTTGTCTTGTCTCTGAAATTTGAATGTTATTATCAATATAACATTACGTTGTTCTCTTCTCGTCTATTTCCTTCTAACGGTACAATTCCTATATTATCGTTGATTTTACAACTATACACTGATGATAAAGGATTGAAATTTTGGTAAGATGAGATAATTTTAGATGAAACTAAACGAATATTTCCCATAATCGTTTAATTAGTAAGTTAATTCTAATTCTAATTTATCACTAATCTTTGATCATCTAGTCAATACATTTGAACTAATCGTTATTATTATGTAAACAATGAACAAATAAACAAAGTAGTAAGGATGATTATAAATAGCATATGAAGTGATTATGAAAAATGCAATTTGATCAGAAAACATAATGGATAGATTATGCTTAAAATTACGAATACAATTTGTTACAATGAGAATTTCACACCTTGCTAATTGAAACGTTTATCTCATCAAAATCTTTCTTTAAAATTCATTTTAACATAATTAATTGATAGCGATTAGAAGAATTCTTAAATATAATATTTCTCATTTTGAAATATATATATATATATTTTTTAAGTTTTTCGTTATCACAGAAATACTTTTTCCTTATCATTCATTAACAGAAATCTGTGTTATTAATTATATCATTTGAAAACGCGAAAAATCTATATGTGACATAATTCATAAACGTTCAAAAGATCACATTCATTCGTACTTTCTTATAGTTTGCTTCAATTTTTGGAATTACAAAAAAAAAAGAAAATTTGTTGAAGTCTATGAAATATCACAAAATTCAAAATTGTTAAAACTTTAATCAAATATCTTATGGATTATCTTTTCCACGAATTTTTTAGAAACAAATAGTTGCAAATTATTTCATTTCATTATTTGTGCTGCGTCAGTAAGGTCGGAAGTTTAGAAATTGTATTCATCTAGCAGTGTTTAAAGAAAAATCTTGAAGAATGCTACAATCTCAAGCGAATTTCACCGTTGATCAGGTAACGTAATTTAACCTGCATTGTTTTATTAATGATTGAAAGGATTAAATGTTTAATATCAAACTTAACTAATGCTAATCGCCATCAAATTATTGATATAGATGCTGGTTTGTATAATTTTAGAAAATATTTGTAATTATTTCTAATTAGTAATTTTAGTTTATCGATCAAACGATTATAAATGCTTCTGTGTTCGGTTTTTTTCAATGTAAACTTGACTTTTCAATGTAAAATTTAAAACTTTATTTTCCTCGGAATGAATTTTTAAAAAAAAAAAAACAATATATAATATCAATTAAAAAGATTAATTAGTTTTAATTCCTTAATTTTGAACTATTATGCACCAAAATAGAGATGGTATTAATGCATCAAAATGATGAAACATATAAGTTTGCTTGATAATTATATCCCATTTCAATATTTTTACATCGTTGAATATATATTTTTTTTTCATTTTGCATAAAAAATTGCAGAAAAATTTGAAGTAAAGAAAATAATTCAAAACTATCAACTTTTTTGCTCATTTAAAAAAATAATTTTTCAACTTTAATTAAATTTTATTAATAGAAAAAGAGAAAAAAATATTTTCGAATACTTTTAATATATTAACTTAACAAATCAAATTATTTGTATTTGTTGTAAATTCCAAATTTAACGATCGGCTTCTTCAATCATTACGATGGCTTTTTGCTTCTTTCTTCTTTCTTCAACAAACTTTTCTTCTTCTTTCAACAAAACAAAAAAAAAAAAGGAAAATTACAAATTGGTTTATTTTTAACAACCACCAAACAAAGCAATATTATTTTATTGTATTCAGTTAAAAGTTGAATTGATAACTTTTTCAGGATGAATCGAAAAAAACGGAATCAATGGAGTATGAATTTTGGTGTTGTCAATGTACGAGAAATGAGATCGATGATGTTACAGGGATCAATGATAATAATAATAATAATGCTTCATCATTATCCAATGGTTCCTAGTTTAGTTACATTCATAAATGGAAACAGTATGATCGGATAATTTTGTCTGACTATTATTTATTATTTTATTCTAAAATTTTTGTTTATCATTTTCTGCTATCTTAATTTTTAATTTTTACATTTTAAATGAGTTACAAGAAGTTCTGAATAAGTTTATTTATTATTTATTCCTTAATCCCTGAATTAAATTATACAATTATTGAATTAGCCTGCTTATTTTTAAAATTTTTCATTTTTTTCTAAATCTCATATAATATATTAATTTTTAAATGAACAGATATAAATAAACATGCATAAAAAACATGCGAATGAATGTATGTGCAATTATGATATATACGCCTGCATGATATATATAATATATTCATGCAATTCGGGTATATCGAATAATCAGATTTAAAAATTTTATTGAAAAAATTTCTTATTTTTCTATAATATAATTTTATTGTAGACTTTGTGGTTACCCAGCAACCACTTCCCAACGAGGAAAATAATTGTAGCCATAATGATTTAAGCTTTTCCAATAATATTTTTGAAACCAAAAATGGTTTCAACGAACGAAAACATGAGTTAGACGGTGATAGTGAAATGAGAATCGAAATGAAAAGGTATACTTTTATAATTATTGAAACTATTTCAAATAACAATGGACACTAACATTGATAATCATGATGTTGTGATAAGCCTGGAAAGATTTCAATCGCTAAATTTTCGTATGGATTCATTTTTTACGGAAAAGAAATAATTTCCTTGTTATCACGATGTAATTATTTTCCGTCAATTATGTAAAATTAATGAGAACAATGAAATCATTCAATTTAGACATTTGTTATAATTATTAACTATGATTAAGTTGGTTAATTCAGTGATTATCATTGTTGGAATTAACTTTTCAGGTTGAAAGAAGAAAGCACTAATATAACGAGTATTATACTTGATAATCTTATCAATGAATCAAAGAAAGTGGACCCAGCAGAAGAACTAACAAAGAGTGAACAAAAGGTAAATCTAATTAATTTGATTCAGATCACATTTTTTAATATATATAT